CCTCAACAGCTACAAGGTCATCTGCGAGCAGGAGGTCTAAGGGGAAAGCAGGCGGAATTATGTTTTTTTTTTTTCCCTCCCTTTCTCTCTCTCTTCTCCTCTCTCTCTCTCTCTCTTCTCTCTCTCTCTCTCTCTCTCTCTCTCTCTCTCTCTCTCTCTCTCTCTCTCTCTCTCTTTTATTGATTGATTTTTACTTTATTTGTATATTTTCTTTTATTATCTCTGTTCTTTTCTGATAGCTGTTGAGAGGAGTTCGACAGCTGATTGTGTTGTTTACTTGTGTCCATGTTGTTTTTATGGAAGGACATGTTTATGGTTGAAAATATTGTTATTTTAGCTATGTTTATTTGTCCCAAAGTTTATACTTGGCTTTACTATTCATTTGCGCCAAGTTGTTCATATGTTTCCAAGTATATAGTTGGCCATTTTGTCTGGTTTGGCCATGTTTATTTGTACCCAAGTTTATATCTGGTTATATCATTTGCATGGTGTTGTTTATTCGTTTCCATGTTTATATTTGACCATATTGTCTGTTTGGGCCATGTATGTTTTAGCCATGTTTATTTGTGGTCATGCTTATATTTGGATTTTATCTTATTTATTTATTTATTTATTTTTGCATCTTGTTTATTTGTCATGTTTATATTTGGCCATGTTATTAATTGGGACCGTTTTTATTTCTGGTCTTGTTTATATTTGGGTATATTGTTTATTTGGGCCATGCTGCAACTTTTTGGCCAAGCGCAGTGGACCAACAGCACGCTATTACAAGTATTACAGAATTTTCTTCGCAATATTACAAAAAAAAATTCTGAGGTACTACCACCTGAGTCACTTTGAACTGCAATAAGCTAGTTAGAAATTCTTGCCATGTTTTTAAAATCAATCGAAGTGCTAAGATTTTTCCTTGCATAAGGAGGTTTTCAAGTATTCTGTAGTTAAAGAAAAGAAAATGGCCACACCAAGCATCATATTTTTAAAATGTCTGTAAAACATTTAATGAAAACATTCATTATAATACTTCATGCACTTTAGATTATCAAAGTCCGTAACAATTATTGTTAAAAAAAAAAGAGTACAGGTCAATCATCAACAATAATTTCATGCAATAAATATAGGCAATGTATTGTGACCGCACTTGCGTGAATAAAGAATCAGAGCTCTATTATGGTTCCCCGGAATCTTAATATAATTACTATATATCCTACATCTCTCTAGTAATATTTTTTCTTCCTAGAATATTTACGCATTTTATAATATAAAGGTTATATGTTTATTTATACATTCCTTGTAATTACATATTTTCCCTATATTCAAAATCCCTGCTTAATAAATGCCCGAGAAACATAATCATAGTCATGATCATAAATCATAACCATAGTCATACTGATTTCAAACACATGATAAATATTGCAATAGGATTTCATATAAAGTGGATATCAGTGCTGAAAGATCGTGCTATTTCACATTTCCTTTTTAGCAAGAGGTGACCCGTTTGTTTCTTTGCTCTCTGGAAGCAGACGCATAACCGTTGTAACATAACTCAGGGTTTTCTAGTAAGAAAATAAGCACAACTGACACGTGGTAATCAGTTCAGTTAGATTTGCGGTCATGCTCCGCCCACGCCTTTTTTTTCTGGAGTAGCCCGTCCTGTGTTAACTATTTCTAGTTAACTCCAAGTGGTTTCTTTGAACTGCATGCTTCAAAGAAACCACTCGAGTTGACACGGGGTAAGCCTATAGAGTAAGGAATATCAGCTTAGGTTTCAGGCTTGGAAGGGCGGAGCTTAAACGAGGACTTGGGACAGCAGGACGCGTCCCCAGAACTCAGGACGTGTCTCCCAAGCGCGAGAAAAATAACTGAAATTCGTTGGAGAGTTTCTTGCTCTTTGTAAAAAAAAAAAAAAAAAAAAAAAAAAAAAAAAAATAAGCTTGTAACTCTTAATGCCCTCCCACCGGTCATGAGAAAAATGAAGTTGGAGATAGAGCTTACTTTAGGCTTTCTTGATAGGCAATTTTCCGCTGATTTCAAACACATGATAAATATTGCAATGGTGTTTCATATAAAGTGGATATCAGTGCTGAAAGATCGTGCTATTTCACATTTCCTTTTTAGCAATAGTTTGGCCCTGGATTCAGAGGCGACCGACCTCAAGAAGCCTATTTATTAGCACTTGCCAATCACTAGTACATCAGTCAGTACACAGTGTATGAAGAGACAGAGAGAAATAGGGATTAGAGAAAAAGAAAAAAAAAATGAGAGAGGAGAGTGAAAGGAAGACAAGGAGGGAGAGAAAAAATTGAGATGGAAGCAGACAGAGACAAAACGGACGGAAGAGATATGGAAACCGATAAAGAAAGTGGGAAAGAGGGAGAAATACATAAATTGTCATTATGTTATTAGATAATACAATTCCACACAGATAATATAACATTTATTTTGTATATGGTCTATATTGCGTGCGTGTAAAGTCTGAACATATGACTTTCATCATTTGTTAAAATGAATTATGTTAAATTAAATTAAAATGGAAGCCACAAATCTGACGTAAGAGCATACCTTGATATAAACATGATCACAAGCAAAACGACAGATATGATACACATACGTACACAATATATATTTATATATAGATATGAACATAAACAAAATATATACTTATATATGTACATTTATACACACACACACACACACACACACACACACATATATATATTATATATATATATATATATATATATATATATATATATATATATATATATGTGTGTGTGTGTGTGTGTGTGTGAGTGTGTGTGTGTGTGTGTG